GGGGATATGCCCTAAAGACTACTGCTTACCTTCTTAGCAAGGTTCTAAACAAATCGATTAATAAGACACTATATGAGATGTGGTATGGCAAAAAGCCAAACTTGTCTTACACAAATATTTGGGGATGTACAGCTTATGTGGAACGTGCATTGCCAGATAAGCTTAGAGCTAGATTAGACAAATGCAAGTTTGTAGGGTATGCTAAATAAACTATAGGATATTATTTTTACTATCCCACCGAGCAAAAGGTGTTTGTCTCGAAACATGCCACTTTCTTAGAGAAAGAGTTTTTACTTGAAGGGACTAGTGGGAGTAAAATAATTCTTGAACAGGTTTAGAACCACAAACTGACATCCCTTTGGAACCTGAGTTAACAATTAAAGAATTGGATGCTCAAACCGGTGCTCAAAAAACATAAATGCTCTGTATATCTACGAGACAGAGACAACTTCCAAAGAGATATAGATCCATGATGAAAAAAAATGCTCTACCAATTGACATAGAGCCTACTACTTATGAGGAAGCAATATCTAATATTGATTCTAATAAGTGGCTAGAGGCCATGAAATCGGAGATGGATTCCATGCATGTCAACCAAGTGTGGACTTTGGTTGATGCACTTGAAATGGTGAAACCTATAGGATGCAAATGAGTCTTTAAGAGAAAAACTGACATGGATGGTAATGTACAAAAGTACAAGCCTAGGTTGGTTGCTAAAAGTCATAACCAAGTTGAAGGAATTGATTATGAGAAAACCTTCTCACCTGTAGCCATGATTAAATCCATTAGGATTTTCCTTGCTATTGCTACATATTATGATTATGAGATATGGCAGATGGATGTAAAGACATCATTCCTTAATGGGAATTTGTAAAAAGAAGTGTATATGACACAACCTAAAGGTTTTACATCTAAAGAGAATTAGCATAAAGTATGCAAACTCCAAAAGTCCATTTATAAGCTAAAGCAAGCATCTAGGAGCTGGAACATCAGATTTGATGAAACTATTAAAGAATATGATTCGTCAAGAATCCTAATGATCCATGTGTTTATAAGAAGGTAAATAGACAAGCAGTTGTATTTTTAGTACTTTATGTTGATGATATACTACTAACAAGAAATGATATACCAATGCTGCAGACTATCAAAATCTGGCTATTCAAACAATTCTCCATGAAGGATTTGGAAGAAATGGCTTATATTCTAGGAATAAGGACCTATAGAGATAGATCAAAGAGACTACTAGAAGTGTCCCAATCCACTTATATAGATAAAGTGCTAAAGAGGTTTAGCATGACCGTGTCCAAAAAGGGACACTTACTGGTGTCACATGGCATTCATCTCTCAAAGGATATGCGTCTAAAGACACAAGATGAGAAGATGAGGATGGATAGGATACTGTATACATCGGCTACAGGATCCATCATGTATGCCATGTTATGTCCTAGACCAGATGTGGCTTATGCTTTAAGTGTCATGAGCAAATACCAATCAAATCTAGGTAAGAAGCACTGGATTGCGGTGAAAAATATCCTTAAGTACTTATGAAGAACTAAGGATGTTTTCTTGGTCTATGGAGAGGTTGAGCTCCAAGTTAAAGGATATGGAGATGCTGTATTCCAATCTGATAAAGATGATAGTAAATTGCAAAGTGGGTTTATATTTACCTTGATTGACGGTGCTATTAGCTGGAAAAGTTCCAAGCAAGCAATGACTGCTGATTCTAAAACTGAGGCTGAATACATATCCGTGTCTGAGGCATTGAAGGAAGGAGTTTAGATCAAGAAGTTCGTAACTAAACTTGGTGTGGTTCCTATCATTGTTGATTTTGTACCTTTGTACTGTGACAACACTGAAGCCATTGCGCAAGCAAAAGAACCAACGTCTCATCAACGATCCAAACATGTATTACGGCGTATCACCTGATCAGAGAGATCATTGAAAGAGGCGATATTAATATAGAGAGAGTACCCATGGAGGACAACTTAGCTAACCCTCTCACTAAAGTTCTGTCCCAGCAAAAACAAGATCGCCACTTGAAGGGCTTTGGTATTAGATACATAGGCGATTGGCTTTAGTGCTAATGGGAGATTGTTAGTGTAAGCCTTGCAAGCCAATCAATTTTGTGCTTGTAAAATACTACATTAATTAGTCATTTTTCATGTTAAATATATTATGGATATTTTATATAATGTATGAGGTATTTCTTTATCCATGAGTTTATTTATAAAGAGTTATCAGAGACTTATGTAGATAAAGTCCTTGGAACATAATGGCCTTGCAAAAAAATTATAAAGGTTATAATTATGAGATTCTTATGCATCAAAGCCTTGTTCCTAAATATGTTCCTAGTTATTGTATTGTCAAGAATAAGGGCATTGAATCTTGACAATGCTTAAAGGCTAGTACATGCTAAGCCTCCTTATTTTAGAAGTAAGCAATTTATCTCATTGGTTGAAGTATGTGAGATACTTGGGGATAGTATATGGGTGCTTGTTATGGAACAAGTTCACTAAACATGACCCACTATGAGAGTTCCATTTGGTATTTCACTTAAGTATTTATGAAAATACTTTCATGTGTCAATAGTGTAAGTAACCTTTAGACTTGTGATACTAAGTTATCTTGTATGTGAATTGTCATGCTTTGATTTCACCTTTATGGGTCTGGAGATGACCAGATGCTTAAATATGGTGCTTTTGGGCATGGCATAAAGCATACAAAGATGAATGAGTAGTCTAGAGAGGATTCATCACCCCAAGTGATGTGAAGGGGACATATTTCATTTGTTCCTAGCTTATATTGATTAAAAGTCCTTGGCCAAGGTAATCTTGATAGGTCAATATCGAAGTTGCAGGACTAATATGGATATGTTAGAAAGTAGACATCGAGCCAAG